AAGAAAGGGGAAGGTAATAAAAGAGAAACTAAAAGGGAAATGAAGGAGTGGCTTTATGAAGTGATATCAATATGGTAAGAATTGTATATTATTTACAATTCCTTAGATTTAAATTATTTTTTATATAGGTTTTCAAAACCAGGTCCGTTAAAAATTTGCACAAGTTGTCGGCTCGTTAAAGTTTTCAAATTTCTTTGTATCAATTTTTCAGTCACATTTTTAATATCTATATCAAATTTTTTCCCAATGTCATTTGGCGCTTATATCTCTCCTTCTATGGTTATCTATATCTACAACAACCTTTTTAAAAATCTATTATGGTAAATATCTATATAGTGCATTTGTAATTGAAATCATATCAAAAAATTGATTAATTTTTGTGAATTTATTATATTATTTACAGATTTAGTATTTTAGTTAACCAGCTCTTACAATACAAAGAAATAAGCATATTTTAACTTATTTTCAAATAGAATCAAGATATTAGCTCAAAATTTAAAAAAATATATTAAAATTTTAATTCACAGGCTGGCTTAAAATTCTAAGCAGATTTTAAGAAAAATCAGAGATTTGTAAGACCATGGCTAATATTTTATGTATATTTTCCGACCCAGCTAGTAAATTATTTCTCACAAATTGAGTGGCCCAACCTGTTTTAATATTTTTTAAAAAAAATTAGGGCCCGACAGTTTCATTTTTTTTAATTTCTCGGCCCGGCCGGAGGGTAAAGTTTTTGGACGGGCAGGGCTTTGCAGATCTCTAATTACTTATAAAATTGTAATCAATTAAATATATGATGAATTTTAAATAAATATATTATTAATTGTGTACGACGATTAATTGTTTGTTTTGTAAAATATATATATACTGCGGTACAAAAGGTAAAAAGTTGTTAAATTTATAATAAAAATTGATTTCATCACAATGGCGCAGTCGTTTCAAATGGAGAAATATAATATAAAGGAGTGCAATATGGAAGTTTATTTATCAAAAAAAACTTCCATATTTAAAATCGCAAAAATAGAAGATAAAAAATCATTTTTATTAGCGAATATTGGATTAAAGGCTTATTCTAAATTATTTAATTTGTGTTTGCCAAAGACATTAGAGGAAATATCATATGATGACATAATTAAACTTTTAAAAAATTATTATATGAAGAAGACAAACTTCCTATTAGAAAGATATTATTTTTTTAAAATGGAACAAGAAAAAGATGAAACCATCATTAATAAATTAAAGATAAAGGCAAAGACGTGTGAATTTAAAGATATGTATAATACAGTATTGCGGGACAAATTAGTGTCAGGAATTAATAATGGAAAAATATTAATGAAATTAATTAACACGCAGGACTTAACATGGGAAAGTGCAATACAAATCGCGACCGCAATGGAGACTACAGAAATGATGTCGTATGAAAAATTATCTGCAGAGAAGGAGATAAATAAAATCTCAAAAACAGTAACAAGGGAGCAGTATGACAAGTACAAATCAGTACCAAAAATTATTTGCTTACAAAAAGTATGCAGAAGGAATCGTGGAAAGAAGGAATATATTCGAACGATGTTCCAGAAAATGAGCGAGAAAGTTTTGAGGATTGGGAATTTCCAGAGGAGTCTCGAGAAAAATTTAAGGTGAAATTATTGATAGATAAAATTTATATTAAATTTTTAATTGACACAGGATCGGCAGTCTCCATTTTGAATATAGAAGACGTTTACCGTTTAAAAATACCAGTAACAAAAACGGATATTATTTTAAAATCTTATAATAATGTAATGATCAATATGTAAGTGTATATTACCCGTTAATTATATGAATAAAGTTATATATCATGAATTTATTATTGTAAACAATGGGATTAACTTGATAGGTAGAAACCTAATAAACAAATTAAAATTAATAAAAATTAATCAATGTAATATAGTTAATGAGGTTTGGGAGGATAATATTGTACATAAATTTTCCTTATTATTCACTAAAAAATTAGGTTTACTAAGAGGTTTTAAGGCCAGTTTAGCGGTAAAATCTAACCACAGTTTCAATATATGAAAAGTAGACCGATACCATTTGCGTGGAAGGCAAAACTCGAAACGGAATTACAACGACTGGAATTTATGGGAGTTTTAGAAAGACTAAAATACTCGAATATCGCTTCTCCGATTGTACCCGTATTGAAGAAAGATGGATCTTTACGAATTTGCGGTGATTTCAGACAAACGGTTAATGCAAATATTTTGATAGATAAATATCCTTTACCCAGAATTAATGAATTATTAGCCACACTAGGTAATGGGTGTAAATATACAGTATTAGATTTATCCGAAGCGTATTTTCAAATAGAGTTAGATGAGGAGGCAAAAAAGCTGTTAGTAATCAACACGCCTAGTGGATTGTATCGTTTCACACGACTTCCGTTTGGGGTAGCCTCAGCGCCAGCGATTTTTCAACAAGCAATGGATTCATTATTAAAGGGATTACCTGGAGTAGCGGTATATTTGGACGATATATTAATTACGGGGGAATCAATTGAGAGTCATAAGAAAAATTTGATAAATGTATTACAGACGTTAGAAATAAACGGTATGAAATTAAATCTAAAAAAATGTGATTTTTTTAAAGAAAAGATTGAATTCTTAGGTCATACCGTTAGCGAAGAGGGAATTACGACAACAAATAAGAATGTCAATGCAATTTTAGACGCACCATTACCAAAAAACGTCAAAGAATTATAAGCTTTTATCGGTATAATAAATTATTATCAAAAATTTATAAACAATTTTTCGACTATTGCCGCTCCATTATATAGGCTTTTAAGGAAAGATGTGCCATGGAAATGGACAAATAATGAAACAATAAGCACCAATTTTAACACATTATAATCCGGAAAAACCGATAATTCTAGCTGCTGATGCGTCTCAACATGGAATAGGATCAGTTATATCTCATATCATTAATAACGAGGAAAAACCGATTGGATACGCGTCTCGAACATTAAATGCTGCCGAACGAAATTACAGTCAGATAGAGCGTGAGGCTTTAGCAATTATATTTGGATTAATTAAATTTAAACAATATTTAATTGGCAGACATTTCATTATCATTACTGACCATAAAACCCTAATATCGTTAATTAATCCACATAAAAGAATAACAGATATGTCATCAAGATTAGTAAGATGGTCATTACTACTAGCAAATTATGATTATGAATTGCAACTTCGAGGGACGAAAAAAAATAGTAATGCGGATATGCTTTCCCGGTTTCCAATTGACGGTAAACCATCTGCTTGGGAAGAGTTAGATATTAATTTAATAGTATCGGATGCTCCACAATTTATTTCAGCGTTAGATATAAAAGCACACACGAGAAATGACCCGGTATTATCAAAGGTTTCACGTTACCTTACAACTGGATGGCCAAAGATGATAGAGGAAAATCTTAAACCGTTTTTCCAGGGCCGAAATGAACTCACGATGGAGGCAGGGTGTATATTATGGGGCTTAAGAACCATAATTCCAAAAAAATCACAAGTAAATATTTTGTCTTTTTTACATATGGGGCATCAGGGTTATACTAAAACAAAATTATTGGCACAAATAAACCATGGGGAAGAATTCATTTAGATTTTGCCGGACCAATTAACGGAGATATATACCTAGTAATAATAGATAGTTTTAGTAAATGGCCTGAAATACAAAAAATGACGACGAATAATTTTACTGAAGTAAGAAATTTGTTGTTAAGACTTTTTGCTATTTTCGGTTACCCCGATACGATTGTTACGGATAATGGCCCCCCATTTCAAAGTAGAGAATTTAGTTTATTTTGCAAACAATTATCAATTAAAAATGTATATAGTGCCCCATACCACCCTAGAACCAACGGAGAAGCGGAGCGATTAGTACAAACTTTTAAAAATTTTTTAAAAAAACATAATGATTATAATAAAATACAAGATTTTTTGTTTAATGATCGAAATACGCCACAAATAACCACAAAACAATCACCAAGTTCAATTATGCTTAAATTTCAACCCATAGAACCTTTACAATTAATAAAACCAGTTTATCCTCATCCATATATACCTCAGTTACCAGGTTTTTTTAATATAAATGAAAAAATATATGCAAAGGATTTTAAAAAAGATAATTGGATACCAGGTATCATCGTTAAAAGAACAGGACCAATGACGTTTTTAGTTGAAACTAAATTAGGGGTATGGAGAAGACATATTAATCAGTTAAAACATAGGTTCGACAACTCAGAATTAAAAAATAGAGAGGAGGGAAGAGAAGAAGAAACGATGCAAACTACACCACAAATGAATGAAAATGAGCCCATACAAAACTCAATGACTAAAGACATTGATCCTATACACGAATTGGTGACCAAAGACATTGACCCAATACAAGACTCAATAAACAAAGAGACCATCATAAATGATAAGATGAAAATCGACAGTAATGAGCAAACGGTGGTAGAGAACGAAAGTACAAGCAGCCGTTATCCAAAACGGATAAGAAAACAATTTATACCGTTTCAAATCGAGAGCCCAAAAAAGGAGAGAATAGATGTAATAGAAACAATTAGCCTCAAAGGCAATTAAATATATGATGAATTTTAAATATATATATTATTAATTGTGTACGACGATTAATTGTTTGTTTTGTAAAATATATATATACTGCGGTACAAAAGGTAAAAAGTTGTTAAATTTATAATAAAAATTGATTCCATCACAAAAATATTGAATTTTACTTTCGTGCTGTTTCTTTATTTGTCTTTATATATTTGATTTTCGGATCGGGTTAGGAATATGGAATCAATTTTCGGATCGGGTTGGGAATATGAAATTAATCTTATGTTCAAGTTAATGTCGATACGGGATTTAAAAACTTCCTCTAGATAAATTAAATCTGGATTATTGGGAGAATCAGGAATTTAATATCCTGATTCCTTACCATTATATTTGATAACTAAAAATATGCTTAACCTTCCTTGGGTGTATGATCAAGGTGATGTGAACGTTGAAAGAGGTGGCGAATTTGCGGAAAGCAGCGATTATGGCGTCTTGTTTGAAAAATCTGTCGAAAGAAGAAACCGAGGTCTCATCTCCCATCATGAATTGCAAATTGTCAATCACGATGTGGGATATATCATACAAGTATACGGCCTGGGACATGCACTTATATTTTTAAGTTGTTGTTTTATTATGATTGAAATATACAGTCATAGATGAATATAAATATTTGTAAATATTAAGTTATATTTTATATTTCGATTTATAAAATTAGATTTTTGTAAAGTCATTATGTATTGCGTTTGGTAAGTTATTTTTATATTATTTTTTTTACAATTAGGAGCTTCACTATAAAAGGAGAGCAAATTGTAATGTAAAATCATTATAATAATTATTACTTCATTTTATTTTAATAAAAGATTATTATCAATTATTCAGTTTCTTCCATTTTAATTTAATAAAGAATTCTTATTGTGGACAACCACAATACTTTTAAATTTACTATCTAAATAAAGGAATAAATTACTGATAGAATTTATTACAAACATTTTCTCACTCTAATTGTACTAACCCAGTATATTAATTTTAAAAATTTATGAGGCACCATTTATATTCTCAAATTAATTCTAATTAAACTCTTTATGATTATTTAGGCCAGTAAATAATCATATCATAGTGATAATCAACTATTTGCTACTAACCATATTCCAAATATTAGTCAAGAGCGTGTATAACTTCAAACTGTACTAAAATATTATATGTGAATGAATGAGAAATAAATATTTATTAATAAATTTAAATTATTTTTATCTTTAATCTACATATAGCGTTTTTTTTTACTCAAACCCCCTTACTTTTCTTCATGTAGATACTGTATGTTAAATATTTAAAAATGCCATCGATTTAAAAATTCCACTTTTATTTTAAAATATACCAATCAAAAAAATATATAACTAAGTAATATTAAAATAGACCCATTAATAATTTCTCTAGAAAGCATCATGTAATTCCTAATGGATAGCTTTAATAACGAGGGTAAAATGACATTAAATTATTTTTTTAATTTAGAAATTCTTTCCGATATATACTTTATACTAAAAGAAATTGGATTAAATACCTGTATGAGCGATTTAGCGAAAAGCAAATAAAAAGATCCAAATTAAATGGATATGATGGGCTTCGACAATATATCATAATGTCTAAAAATTCCTAACTGTGATACTTCATTCTAAAACCGAGTGTGAAAAGGACTTTCATGTTATGATTTTGATCATAGCAGATAAACGAACGAGTTTAAGAGTAAATAATTTTTCAAATTTAACGTTCATATATAATAATAGACCTTCGATATCGGATGGATTCCAGATCCATGTATCAAAATTTTGAAAAGTAATCATCGGGGGAGAATGATTTTAAAGAAAAATACAGCCTAAGAAAACGAAAAAAAAGATTTATGGGAATTTTTTAAATTCATATTTGTTTTAATTTGTATAGATATAGGTGGTTATACATTTTTATTAAAATTAAAAATTTTATATATATATCATTTTTTTTTTATAATATTTAAAAAAATAGTGGCCCACCCACCCCACCAAGTTTTTAAGCATAAACCACTGAGCATATGGGATAAAATTTGGTCTCTAAACCCGGATTCAAGCAAATTAACCTATTTCAATTTAGAATTAATTCAAATTTGATTACTTCAATGATGTTCTTAATATTGACTGCTCCTTGATGTGTCATATAATACATAGACAACCTCTCGAATTCATTGGCATATTTATCGAAAATCTGTATATTTTTATCAAGATTGATCCTAAAATTTAAAAAGGAGATAAAAAAATACATAATTCATAAATTTCGGATTTTATTGTACATTTAAATTAATAAAATATTTCGGGGTACTTAAAAATTATTATAATATCTTTAATCATATTATCCTTAATTCTAGGGCTATTAACCCGAACTCTGATATTTTACAGAACCAGAACTCCACAGCTTTTTTAAAATTTAGGGTTATGGTTCAAGAATTTTTTATAAAATTTTTTATTTAGTATTTTTACTAATTTTTTGTTTAAATTATAAAAAAAATTGAACATATTTAAAAATATATATTAAATTATAACATGTAAAATATTTGTATAGTAGAAAAAACATATTAAATATTAAATTTGTTTTTTTTTATTTTCAATATTAGAAACATATTTTGTGAACGTCGTATTTTATTTTAGTATATCCATTTAATGTAAATTTTTCTGGACACCGAACCCTAAACCTGGTTCAGAGATTTCTCACTGACCCAAACCTTTCTTTTTAGAGGGGAGTTCACATCTGTGCTTAGTGCAATAAACATTTTTAAAAAACGATTTGTTCGTCCTATCCATTGGCAAAAATTAAATATGTAGGAGTTCAAAATGTATTTATAAAAAATTAAAGCGTTCCAATTAACGCCTTTACGTTCACTCAAATCTATAAATATATTTTTTTAATTTTACTTTAAGGGTCAAAATTTTTAAAAAAGAAAAGAAGCTAGATCTTTTAACCGAGTGTTCATAATTTTGAGACAACAGATCTTAATAAATCGCTAACTGATTATTATAGGGTTCTGTGCCCTCTTAAATTAATTTTTCAGGAGAGCGATTTTAAAAATATGGGTAGAATAAAAAGATATATTGTGATAATGCAATTTTAGATAAAGTCAGAAGAAAGGAAACTAAAAGGTTAGGATATATGAATGTGAGGGCAAAATATTGGAGTGGTATGTCAATTCCGAAGGAATTACATTCAAAAACAAAAAATATTTTAAAAACTAAAATTTCATATTGTTTTATCCCCTGTCTTAATATTACTAAAATCGATATTACTTTAAAAAAATTCATTAATCTTTATAAAAAGGTTGGTGAATTGACTATTTATCTACTTACTTTATTCACTAAGAATTTAGTTCATCCTATCTTATGTACTATGGCTAGAGCCCTGCAAGGTAATTTTTTCGCGGCCCGAACACCTTTAAAAAAAATTTGCTGTCCGAGTTCATGAGCACAAATTTTTTGTACCAACCTTGATTAAAATTATTATGAAATGTAAGTTTTCATCTTAAGGCTAAACCCAATCCCTGCCCTTTTAAAAGTATATTTTGCTTAATTTATATCAATTTTAAAAAGTGAGTTCAATAATATAATTAAATTTAAAATTACGTTTAAGATGTTAGCCTTTCCCCGTTAAAATGCTTTCGCGACAAAAAAATTATTTTGTGAACCGGTAACGTAAAAAAATATAGATAAGCGGTTTGGGATAGAGAATTAAAATGATATAATTATATTTAAAATTACGTTTTAGATGTTAGCCTTTCCCCTCTTAAATGCTTTCTCAAATTAAAAATACCTAAAAAAATTTATGTTTCTCATTTACTTCTTTATCAAGTAATTACAATATATTTATACTTAATTAATATATAAAATTATAACCAAATATTAATTTAAAAATTAATATAATAAAATTAATTTTTAAAAACCGTAAATTATTTCAAAGAATTAATAAAAAAATTGAAAAGATCTTAAAATTTCCATATTTTAATATATTATAATGTAATGTTATTATAATATTTTTTCTCTAAAAAAAGCAATAAATCAATCAAATATCTCATTAATCATTTTCTTTGTTATTTTTATTTTCAATATTATTTTTTAGCCTTTCGTATTACCAAGCCTTTCGACTTTTAGACCTTGCTTAAATAAAATTATACAAAACTAATATATTATAGGAAGAGATATTTTTATAATAATTTTTTATTTATTTTTAAAAAGAATTGATTTTCAAAATTTTGATCAGATAAACAAAGAGTGCTCAACACATCTTTCGCCTTGCTAAACACATTTCAACTGGCGCAGAGAATGGGAGGATTGTATTATATTTAATAAGTAAAAATTTTAATTGGGGGGATTTATCAAAAATTAAAGAATAATTCTTATTTTGAAAAAAGCTTAATAGATCATCTTCAAAATAATCTTCATTCAGATCATCATCAATTTTTATTTTATCTTCATCAAAAAATATAATCTGATAAGTGTGTTGTTTTTTCAAGGAATCAAAGTCTTCATTTTCTTAAATTGAAAATAAGTCCAAGCTTTCTACCTTCATTGACCTCTAATTTTATCCAGGGCCAATCCAATTATTCAATTTAAATAGCTGGTGAATTATTTCTGATAGTATAGATTCATTATAATCAAGATATAAATTGTAAACAATATTTCAGTGTACATTTTATCTATGTCTTGCAGGATTGCATTAATAAGTGGCTTATAAAACTTGAAATTATTTAAAGCATTTTTTAAAGTAATATCAAAATAGTTATCGTGGGTGTGAGATATCCCAAATGTTCGACAATCGAATAAGTCGTAGCAACAGGTTTCACAACATATAAAATCATATATATACATATTTTTTAACATTAACCATACAATATATATCTATGAACAGCTTGACGTTATCTGAAAATCTCTGTAATTCGGATTTATCAAAATATTCGTCAAATTGGCCATTCTCCTTAATAAAACTATAAATAGTTTTAAAAAAAAGAGTTCTATCTTGTTATAACTGGTTTAATAAGATATATTCTCATTTTTTCCTTAAAAATTCACAGTTTGGAAACTGCCAATGTTTATTACACAATTCAGGAAATATTTGAATTTCTTTATTTGTAAAAAATCATATTGGCGCCAGGGTAGGTTAAATCATCTTCAACTTAAAAAATATGTACAATTGACATATAATTGATTCAATATAAATTAGATTAACAATCTTGACTGAAAATTTAACCACAAATTTTTTTGCTTTAAATCGCGATTTCTTTTTGATTTAATTTAAACCAAATACTAATGTTTAGAGAAGTTATCGATTTTGATTGAAAAATACATACATCATGTTTTTTTTACCTTAGTATAATATTTCTTTGTAAATAAAAAGTTAATGCATTAGGAGAAGGGTCAGGAAATTATTGAAAAAATATATTGATAAGTCATGAGCTAATTTGATATTTTGTCAAATTAAAATTAGACTTTCAATCAAAAATTCGATATGTGCAAACTGTGTAAATTTTTTTAGCTAGTCTACATCAGTGAGTCAGAAAGAAAATCATTAATTTTATAAAACGAATACTATTATGAATATTCTCAAATAAAACTGTTTAGCCAAATTTAAAAATTTTGTTTTTTGACTAATAAAATGCTGGTTTTAATTATTTAACTAGTGTTATTTCCAAATTGGGTGTCCTGATGCATTAGCCATAGGGTTGGCAAATAAAAATTTGATTTAAATCAGTATTTTAAATAAAATTCTATTCACTAAATTTGATCGAAACAATATAAGGAAAAAAAAAAAAATTTTTAGAATTTAATAATTTTTATATGAAAAATGTTAAATTATACTAGGAATCATTACTTATTAGAAGAAAAAAAATTATATATCATTGTTTCATTTTTGACATAATTAAAATGAAGGGAGGGGGGGGGGTGATTTAAATCAGTATTTTAAATAAAATTCTATTTACTAAATTTGATCGAAATAATATAAGGAAAAAAAAGAAATTTTTTTTAGAATTAAATAATTTTTATATGAAAAATGCTAATACTAGGAATCATTACTTATTAGATTAAAAAAATTATATTTCATTGTTTCATTTTTAACATAATTAAAGGGGGGGGAGGGTTCTAATTCAGTGAAGAATTTCTGAACCGGGTTTAGGTTCAGGATTTTCAGTCCAGAAAAAAAGACTTTAAAAATTTAGTAAAAATAACAGGACAACAGTTTTTTTTTAATTTATTTTACTATATTTAGCATTTACCATAAAAATAATTTTATCGTTATAATTAAAAAAATACAATACAATATAATTTAAAAAATAATATTCTATTTGTTTTAAAATTTAAGAGAATTATCATATGTTCCAAAATTTAGAGTTAAAATTAAAGATCGATTTTTATCCCTAACTTTGACAGTGCATTGTTACTCGACATAGGTATTTGAATTTAATTGTTTATAAGAGAAACCTAGTTTTCCTTGAAATAAACTCCATATGATGAAAATACTCAACTGAAGCTGCTGATTGTTTATACTATGAATTAAATGTACCTACTAACCATAATTCATTTTTTTTTATTTAATCTGAAAACAAAATTTTATTAAACGAGTCGGAAGCTTGAAATTTTACCAATTGATGGATAAGAGATTGGTTGAAGATATAAAATTACCGTTCCATAGCCATTTAAGTTTCATTGTTTGTTAAATTTGAAACATATTTGGGAGTTAAAAGATAGGATAAGAAATGTGTGGATGAAAGTATCATAATAATATTGAATTTTCAGGTTGGCGAATATAAAAACAACTATAATAATAATTAAATAATAAATTAATCTAATTTTTATATATAATTAATCTTTTTTTTAAATTTTGTCAAATAACCAAACATTTTAAAATTATTAGATTGCTTATTTAAAATATTTTTATACAATTGATTTATCCTCAGCAAAAGGTTTAATTAAACCATATTTATCATAATATAATTTAAAAACTAGCCACTATCAGAAAAAGGGAGAGGGAGAGTTTTAAAAATGTTAATTTTTAGGACATTCTAAACAATTGCCACAAAACTAATAATCAAGATTATTTTTAATTAAGAGTATTAATATTAATGAACATTTTAAATTTGGCTAATGCATACCCAATTGGGAAATAACAATAGCTAAAATTTAAAAAAATTTATATCTAATTAAATAAGATTAGTAGTACATTTACTACTTTTCATATAAAAATTTAATTCCAAAATAATCTAAGTCTTTGTCTTCCTTATATTAAGTATTTTGATAAAATTTAAAAAATATAATTTTATTAAAAATATAATTAAAATCACTGATTTTTATTTGCCAACCCTGGTCTTTTCCATATTTTTTAAGAAGAAATTTAAAGTAAAGAGTATCGTTTTGCGTTACCTTTCTCGAAAAAAAGAAACGCGTTATGCATAACTCGTAACCTCTAGAAGATGGTAACGAATGAAGTTTCTTTTCTTCAAAAAAGGTAACGCCATTAGTAACGACGTTACTTTTTATTTACAGCACTAGTTCTAATAAATAGTTATAACAAAATTTATATGATGATGAATTCTAATAATTATTTAATGTACCAAAAAAAATAATTTCAAAATAAGAAAATTATTCACCACCAACGTAGAAAATTTATGGCTATGCGCCTGCTAAATCAATAACTTGTCAAAATTTTAAGCACCCATCACATTATTAACCGGCCCATTTATTTTAAACTAGCGAATTGCCCGTCAAGATTGATAAGGAATCATAAATTTCTCCTTTATTTGATCCTGGTTGCATGAGAAATTTATCCTTTATTTTATGAGGTATGAATAAGAAAAGTGCCTACATTTTCAATTTTTTAGAAAATAATAAAAATAATTTTTTTTGGATATAAATAATGACATTATGAAATAAAACATTAACAAAGTTATTTCTGAATATTTAAATTTAATGCATAATATTAAAAAAAGATATATAACTATTTTGAGTTTGATATTTCTTCTCTATAAACCTTTATAAAAATTCAGTCCATAATAGTAATACAGGGCCATGGGCTAGATCTAAAAAAATTGTACCAAAAATATACCTTAATTTTTTTATCTATATCTAAATACATTTGTAATGTTGTATCTGTATCTATATACCTTTTTAAATATTTTATATCTATCTAGATACATTAGAAAAAGATCTTTTAATAATTCTGGCATATATTAATATTTAAAATAATATGATACCCGGAATACTGATGTAGCATGAGTCTGGCCAATCGATTATTTGCTATTTCGAAGCTTCCCCATAAAGTATTGACCTTTGTTTCATTTTTTAAAATTTATAGTGTTGTTAAAGGATTCGATTTGAGCCGATTTTTAAGCCAAAAAAATATTGACTAACTCAAGATAGTGTTGTTAAATGGCTCGTTTTGAGCCGACTTTTTAAACGGCTAACTCAATATTTTAGCCAGAAAAATATTGCCTAGGCCTCGAGATTTCGATAATATATATATCTAGACCTTTGTTCCTTCTATGAGCAAAATCATCAGGCTTGCGTAATATATTTCTGAGTGAAATATTGAGTTAGCGATTTTTAAAAATCGGCTCAAGACGAGCCGTTTAACACTACCTCAAGATTTCTAAAATAAATGTTCAAACCTTGTGTCATCTACGAGTAAAATCTTTAAGCTTGCGTAATATATTCTGGATAAAAAATTAAGTAAGCCGTTTTCAACTCTCCCATTTTAACAACACTAAATTTATTTATTACTAGTCAAAAGATACTTTATAATTAAGATAATAGTTAAAAAGCATAACTTAGTAAAATATATACCATGATGTAACCTGCCTGAATCGATTTCCCTATAGAATCATAAATTTTACATAGTAACATATTTTTTACCCCTTTTAGACATAGATCCAAAGAATATTCACTAACAAATGTCGTTTTCCCAGAGCCGGTCGGTCCAGTAAATATTGTCAACTCACCTCTGCGATGCCCTTTCAGAATTTTATTGAGTAAAGGAAACTTTGTCCACTAAATTTCAGTTTAAATTATTTATTTATTCGTTAATTTTAGTGTTGTTAATCGGCTTAGCCGAGTCGGCTCGAACAGAGCTCACCCAAATTTTGGGTCGTTTTTTTCGACTCCAACTCAAAGTTTTGGTCGTTTTTTACGACTTCGACCCGAGTTCAAGCCGAAAAAAAGACTTCGACCCAAAATATGGGTCGTTTTTTCGACTCCGACCCAAGTCCAAGCCGAAAAAAACGACCTCGACCCAAAATATGGGTCGTTTTTTACGACTCCGACTCAAAATTTGGGTTGTATTTTTCGACTAAAACTTGAAATTTGGGTCGTATTTTTCGACTCAAACTTGAAGTTAGGGTCGTATTTTTCGACTCCAACTTGAAGTTTGGGTCATATTTTTCGACTCAAACTAGAAGTTTGGGTCGTATTTTTCGACTCCAACTTGAAGTTTAGATCGTATTTTTCGACTCCAACTCAAAGTTTGGGTCGTTTTTCTGACTCAGACTCAAACATCGGGTCGTTTTATTCAATCCGACCCAAAATATGGATCGTTTTTTTTAAAGACGCCTTAAAGTTAGGGTTGCTTTTTTTCACCTAATCAAATATCTAGATCATTTTTTTCGACCAAAAGTCAAATAACATTTAGTAGATATTAATATTATAGGCGGGAAAGTTTCTTAAAGCTTCTTTAAATTATAACGCTCTGATTTAACTATTCCATCATAGTTATTTTTTAAAATTTTTAAGTAAAGATGTACCATAGAAAAGAGCCATTTGTTATGATGGTTATTTTTGAACTTTTTTAAATGAAATAGATAAAAATATATATTGTAGACATGTTAAATCAAAATTTCAGTGAAGATGTACCATAGATAAGTGACAATTGTCATAATCGACATTTTTGAACTTTTTTGAGTTTTTTATAGCAAATTGCTAAAAATATATATTCTGAACATGTTAAATTAAAAATTCAGTGAGGATGTATCATAGATAGGTGACAATTGTCATAATCGTTATTTTTGAAATTTCTTCAATTTTTTTAAAGGAAATAGCTAAAAATATATATTCTAAACATGTTAAATTTAAAATTCAGTGAGGATGTATCATAGATAGGTGACAATTGTCATAATCTTTATTTTTGAAATTTTTTTAAAGGAAATAGCTAAAAATATATATTCTAAACATGTTAAATTAAAAATTCAGTGAGGATGTATCATAGATAGGTGACAATTGTCATAATCGTTATTTTTGAACTTTTTTCAATTTTTTTAAAGGAAATAGCTAAAAATATATATTCTAAACATGTTAAATTAAAAATTCAGTGAGGTTGTATCATAGATAGATGACAATTGTCATAATCGCTATTTTTGAACTTTTTTCAATTTTTTTAAAGGAAATAGCTAAAAATATATATTCTAAACATATTAAATTTAAAATTCAGTGAGGATGTATCATAGATAGGTGACAATTGTCATAATCGCTATTTTTGAACTTTTTCAAATTTTTTTAAAGGAAATAGCTAAAAAAATATATCCTAAACATGTTAAATTAAAATATCAGTGAGGATGTATCACAGATAGGTGACAATTGTCATAATCTTTATTTTTGAACTTTTTTCAATTTTTTTAAAGGAAATAGCTAAAAATATATATTCTAAACATGTTAAATTTAAAATTCAGTGAGGATGTATCATAGATAGGTGACAATTGTCATAATCGCTATTTTTGAACTTTTTCAAATTTTTTTAAAGGAAATAGCTAAAAAAATATATCCTAAACATGTTAAATTAAAATATCAGTGAGGATGTATCACAGATAGGTGACAATTGTCATAATCTTTATTTTTGAACTTTTTTCAATTTTTTTAAAGGAAATAGCTAAAAATATATATTCTAAACATGTTAAATTAAAAATTCAGTGAGGATGTATCATAGATAGGTGACAATTGTCATAATCGCTATTTTTGAACTTTTTTCAATTTTTTTAAAGGAAATAGCTAAAAATATATATTCTAAACATGTTAAATTAAAAATTCAGTGAGGATGTATCACAGATAAGGGACAAAAAATGGTTATTATATATACGAGTAGTTAGGTACATAATAATCTTTAAGTGATAAAATGAGATGCTAATATATTTCTTGTAATTTTAATTTTATAATAAAATTCTTAAATGTTATTGTCATAGACTGGGTTAGAAAATCAACTATCACATAAACTCATCTATGTTTTATTCATATTATATTTTTAAGTTTGAGGATATAAAAATATTTCCTCTTTGAAGTTACTAGTTAGGATAAAATTTACTTGGCACATCTTACAATGATATTTATACTTGTTTTTTTTTCGATAAATTTTATGCGATATACATGAAGGAAATTACATATCATTGTACAGAGAAATAACTTTGTATATATTATCTGCACCCATATCTTTTTTATCAATCTCTATCGATGACATTTTAAATTATATTGGAAACTAGATTGTGTAGATTTCTAAATATTAATTTAAAAGATTAAGATGCTAGAATTAATTATAGATATATCTTAATAATTTGTATATGCATTTATTATTTAAAATCTCTCGTTTTAAGCCTATTTAGCAAGAAAAATATTGACTAATCCTGAAATTGATAATAGATATCTATACCTTTATATAATCTATGAGAAAAATTGCTCTCATAATATTCTTCTTAATAAAATAGTGAATAATTAACGCCTGAAAAAAAGTAAGCGCTTTATAACATGGTTCAAAGTTAATCCCAGTATCAATTTTAATGTGTAATTTTTCTCAAGTGTTCAAAATTCTATATCTTAATATCAAAAACTATTTTAGTTATCAATTTAAAGTCAAATAATATTAAAACACTAATATTCTCCAGTATTCATAAAAAACAACAGCCCGAAACAAGAATACTAAGCTCAAAACATCTTAAATATTTGATACATTTATAGTTTAAATATTTTTATTTAAATTATATATATTTATTAATGTACAAAAAATTTAATTTAACAATATATATAGATATAAAAATTATATATAAAATTTATTATTCATGATATTGATATCCCATGAATTTAAACATAAACACTGTGTTTCGGAGGCCATGCGATTTCTTTTCTTTGTTACGGTGTCCACCCCTCTTGAGAAGACACGCTCGCTCTCAACGGATGTACTTTGCTGCGACAAAAAATCTTTAGCCATCATGCAAAAGTACGGAAAACGCTCAGAATTAAAGTACGACTTAAAAAAACTCGACTTAACACTACATTTTTGAAAAATATGGCTCGCCTAAATTACTAAATTATATTTAAAAAAATTCATATTTTATATTAAAAAAATGCATCCGAAATCGCAAATACTTATAAAAAAAATTTATTGTTTTATTAGTTAAAAAAGTCCATATGGAAGTGAAGTGACTATTTAAATTCTAAAATTAAAAAAGATATTTTATTTTACTTGGCGTGGTGCCAGCTAGACGGCAAATTTGTTGAGATTTTTTCTTTTCTTCATTGTCAGGGATATGATTAATAATCATTTTTTTTAACTTTCCAAATTTTTTTTATTATTTTTGAGGGTAGCCAAATTAAATTTTAATTTTTTTTTTATTCATTTTTTGTTTTTAAAATTATAATTTAATTTTAATAAGTAACATAAATTTTATTAATAAAAGTTGTCCAATTTTCAGGATTAGTCAATATTTTTCTTGCTAAATAGGGTTAAAACGAGAGATTTTAAATAATAAATGCATATACAAATTATTAAGATATATCTATAATTAATTCTAGCAACTTATTTTAAATTAATATTTAGAAATCTACACAATCTAGTTTCCAATATAATTTAAAATGTCATCGATAGAGATTGATATAAAAGATATGGGTGCAGATAATATTGTAATTTCCTTCATGAGATATCGCATAAAATTTATTCTCGAAAAAAAAAACAAGGTATAAATATCATTGTAAGATGTGCCAAGTAAATTTTATCCTAACTAGTAACTTCAAAGAGGAAATATTTTAATATCCTCAAACTTAAAAATATAATATGAATAAAACATAGGAGTTTATGTGATAGTTGATTTTCTAACCCAGTCTATGACAATAACATATTTAAGAATTTTATTATAAATTAAAATTACAAGAAATACATTAGAATCTCATTTTATCACTTAAAAATTATTATGTACCTAACTACTCGTATATATAATAACCATTTTTTGTCCCTTATTTATGATACATCCTCACTGATATTTTAATTTAACATGTTTAGGATATATTTTTTTAGCTATTTGCTTTAAAAAAATTTAAAAAAGTTCAAAAATAGCGATTATGACAATTGTCACCTATCTATGATACATCCTCACTGAATTTTTAATTTAACATGTTTAAAATATATATTTTTAGCTATTTCCTTTAAAAAAATTGAAAAAAGTTCAAAAATAAAGATTATGACAATTGTCACCTATCTATGATACATCCTCACTGAATTTTTAATTTAACATGTTTAGAATATATATTTTTAGCTATTTCCTTTAAAAAAATTAAAAAAGGTTCAAAAATAACGAATATGACAATTGTCACCTATCTATGATACATCCTCACTGAATTTTTAATTTAACATGTTTAGAATATATATTTTTAGCTATTTCCTTTAATAAAATTTGAAAAAGTTCAAAAATAGCGATTATGACAATTGTCACCTATCTATGATACATCCTCACTGAATTTTAAATTTAACATGTTTAGAATATATATTTTTAGCTATTTCCTTTAAAAAAATTAAAAAAAAGTACAAAAATAACAATTATGACAATTGTCACCTATCTATGATACATCCTCACTGAATTTTAAATTTAACATGTTTAGAATATATATTTTTAGCTATTTCCTTTAAAAAAATTGAAAAAAGTTCAAAAATAACGATTATGACAATTGTCACCTATATATGATACATCCTCACTGAATTTTAAATTTAACATGTTTAGAATATATATTTTTAGCTATTTCCTTTAAAAAAATTTGAAAAAGTTCAAAAATAGCGATTATGACAATTGTCACCTATCTATGATACATCCTCACTGAATTTTAAATTTAACATGTTTAGAATATATATTTTTAGCTATTTCCTTTAAAAAAATTGAAAAAAGTTCAAAAATAACGATTATGACAATTGTCACCTATCTATGATACATCCTCACTGAATTTTTAATTTAACATGTTCAGAATATATATTTTTAGCAATTTGCTTTAAAAAAACTCAAAAAAGTTCAAAAATGGCGATTATGACAATTGTCACTTATCTATGGTACATCTTCACTGAAATTTTGATTTAACATGTCTACAATATATATTTTTATCTATTTCATTTAAAAAAGTTCAAAAATAACCATCATAACAAATGGCTCTTTTCTATGGTACATCTTTACTTAAAAATTTTAAAAAATAACTATGATGGAATAGTTAATCCAGAGCGTTATAATTTAAAGAAGCTTTAAGAAACTTTCCCGCCTATAATATTAATATCTACTAAATGTTATTTGACTTTTGGTCGAAAAAAATGATCTAGATATTTGGTTAGGTGAAAAAAAGCAACCCTAACTTTAAGGCGTCTTTAAAAAAAACGATCCATATTTTGGGTCGGATTGAATAAAACGACCCGATGTTTGAGTCTGAGTCAGAAAAACGACCCAAACTTTGAGTTGGAGTTGAAAAATACGATCTAAACTTCAAGTTGGAGTCGAAAAATACGACCCAAACTTCTAGTTTGAGTCGAAAAATACGACCCAAACTTCTAGTTTGAGTCGAAAAATACGACCCAAACTTCAAGTTGGAGTCGAAAAATACGACCCTAACTTCAAGTTTGAGTCGAAAAATACGACCCAAATTTCAAGTTTGAGTCGAAAAATACAACTCAAATTTTGAGTCGGAGTCGTAAAAAACGACCCATATTTTGGGTCGAGGTCGTTTTTTCGGCTTGGACTTGGGTCGAAGTCGAAAAAAACGACCCATATGGGTCGAAGTCGTTTTTTTCGGCTTGAACTCGGGTCGAAGTCGAAAAAAACGACCCAAACATTGAGTCGGAGTCGAATAAAACGACCCGAGCTTGGGTCGGGGTCGCGACTCGCGGCGTTTTAACAACACTAGTTAATTTGATAATGTAATTTATTTGAAATGAGAGATGCACTGATACCATTGGCCGATATCTGTCACCAATATATACCAAAAATTACTGAACAAAATAACAACCATATTCTATGAATTCAACAATTTTCATTTTTTTAATGTTATATAAGGCTGTGTCCTAAATATCAAAAATATAAATAAATATATTTATTAATTTTGAAGAAAAAAATTAACATATAAGTTATTTTTCATGTAAAAATAAAATTGTTATAAATCATTTTTCGTCATTTATAAAAATTTATTGCTTTTTTTAAATAATAGAAATAAATAAATTTAAATAAAATTTTGCTTAGAATTTATAAATTTGTGTAATTTTATGAAAAAACTAGTAAGTAATATTGCGGTATTGTTATTTTGCGTATGTTATTCTAGTTTTTTTGTATTTTATTAGTTTTTTCTTTTTCATTTTTTTGTTTTCTTGTGTTTTCTTTATTTTAATTTTTACAAAACTTTAAAAAAAATAATAATGGAAGATTTCGGACATATTTCATAATTTTATTAAGGGAAATTTATAAATTTTGAAGTTTTTATCAATATATTTAGAACACAGCTTAATAAATATAAACATATAAATTTAATGGAATAATAAAAATTGATGAAATAAAAATTATTAATTTTAAATTTGTCTTCCATTTGTTTCCATAATATTGTAATTTTTAATTTATCATTTTTGCAAGGTGAGCCCGATGATAATAACATTTGCATTTTTTAGAGGGAAAAAAGTTATAAAAGCATTTTAAAAAAATTTAGTCTGAATAAGAGAATAGGAAAGCACGAGATCGACAAAATTTTAAAAATGGACTAAAAAAATTACAATTTTTACGAAAAATTATAAAAATATTTTAAATACAAAATTTAAAGATATTCAACTAACCATTAAGGCTGATATTTGATAATGGCACAGGCCGATACCGCCATGAATATCGGGCCAACACTGATATTCAGTATTAGTGCATTATCATTATTTGAAATAAATTGAGATTCCGTTATCAATCAAAAAAAACCCCGTTTAAAATATAATGTATTTGAGTAGAGTTAAGATTCTTAATACAAATCAAATTTCTAATTTTTAAAAAAAGCAATACTTATTACAAGTTTGATAATCAACAGCGACTCACGATAAAATAATAATACATAACAACTATAACGTTAATACACCTTAACTCCTTGGAACTTTTCATAATTTTTAATTTGAGACAAAATTTCTTCTCTCATGTAATGAAAATTTGTTATAGTTTGAGAACTCAATGGGTAAGAAGATTTTTTCATAATATCTTTAATGCTTAATCCTTTTTCCAATATATGACCAGGTTCTGTTATAACATTTTCCTTTTGACTGTAAATCAATTTATAATTCTTTAAATAATATATTCTTTTACTATATTAAAGAACATCTTCGGTTATCCAATTTAGCGCCAAAGCTTTTAGTGCTGTCCCAACATTTTCTAATGTCCAATTTAGAATTGAACCAAAATACAATTTTATCGAATTGTTCGAGCATAGGGAGTATCTAATTTAAAGCATTCTGTTATTATATTCTATCATTTATGTTGATAAATCCAATAGATAGAAATATTTTATATAAAAAAAAGAGTAAATTATAATGTTTTTTTTAAAATAATGGAACACTAATTTATTAATATTTATATTCGCAAACTTCTTGAGGCAAATGTTTTTCGGCATTAGGCAACGTTAAAACGGCTAATTCATCATGAACATTATCAGCATTCATATTTGTCAAACATGAATTGTGTTTATTATTTAATATAATTTGACTTATTGTTAAGGCGTCCATCTCTGTAGAAGTCAATATAACTTCTTTGTGGTTTCCGGTGATTTTAGTCCATCCAAAAAGTCCATTTATACTTTTCCTTGGTTTAAATAGATATTAATCATATAATTACTATTAACAAACGTTTCATAATTTTCAACATTGTCTGATGTGTCATCAGGGTAAGATTTTGCTATATATTTGCGTTTGATAGAGACTAGATGATCACCGAATTGGAAATAAGGCAATAATAATGTTGCTTTATCGGTCGTCAATTTGACTTGGTAATCTTCGAGAACTTGGTCTGATATAGGCTTTAAATTAAAAATTTTATAAATCACGATTAGAACTAAATAGTAATAAATATAAATAAATTATTTGATTCGTTATGAAAAACAATTATTCGATTGGATTTTTTTTAAGAATGAACTCAGTCTTAGGGTAATGATGGTATCGCCCCCCCCCCCATCTCCAGATAATTTTAAAATGTGATTCATTTATAATACTGCTAAGTATTTTGACTAAGGGGACATAGTGTTCTGATAAGTATATCTACAAGCTAGTGTTGTTAAATGACTAGTTAAATTTATGCGAAAAAATAACTAAAAGTTACTTTTTAAAATACATGTTAAATGTTTATAAGATGATTTTCAAGTTTGAAACTACTGTTCATATAAAATGTTTCAATTACATCAAGCACTCCTGTAGAAAGTTTGTTTAGTTTAGGGAAGTTTATTTATACACCTTTTAGACACTTTGAAAATATATTATTAATAAAATCAACTAAAAATTTATTAAGCCCGGATTATTATAAAAAATAATTAAATATTTATGATGCAATTATTTTTAATTTCCTTTAATTAAAATTTTTATATCACAAAATTATTTATAAAAAGATTATATTAAAAATGTTGAATATATATAAAGTAATTCTCAATGTAACTAGCAAGGTTGAGCAGTAATTAATTACAAATCCATAATTACAAACCCTTTTTTGTAAGGTATTGTAATCAATTCCACTTAAAAAAAATAAATTAGTATTAATAATTAATTATATTTTTTGGCATGTAATTAGGAATTTGTAGTTACATTTCGTAATTACATATATAGGGCTGAGCGATTCACAAATTTTTCACCGATTTGATCCGAATATTTCCAATATTACTAAAAAATCCGATCAGATTCCGATCCAATATTATAACTGTTTATTTACCATCTATCTTTGTATCAATGTTATAAAAATATAATATTTTTTATTACCCTTTCGCGCCCATGGATAACTTTTGGAATCATAATTTTTCAATAGTAATTTATATGCATTAAAAATGGCCACTGATAATTATTGAAATCATATATTTCATTTTTAATATTTGCTCTTTCGTATTTTATCACTAACTCTTTTGTTTCATATGTTATTATATCATATTATAGTTTTAAAAAACAATTTTTTCATACCATTTTCGCGCCAAAATTTTAATTCATTTTTTCGGTTATCAAAACTTGCTAAAAATATAAGTAATAATTTTATTAATAATATATATATATTAATATTTTTATATAAAAATTATCATCTTTTAAAACATTTTAGGTGCTGGAATTTGAGCATAATGCCATTTGGCATCAATGGTCATTTCTTATGCACTAAAATATTTTTTATCAATAAATGGGAATTTTAGTCAAATTATTTAGGATATTTAGATTTAGGGTTAAAACGGAAGGGGGGGGGGGGGTAATCAGATTATATTTTGATAATAGTTAACTGTATTGATTATTTAATGTCTAATAGTTTTCTTGGATATAGGGAGAGGTCCTAATAAATATTTTATATATATAACATGTAATAATATGAGATACTTTTTAATAACTATGCATTTAGATATGACTACACTTATCCCCGAAGGTGATATTTCTGAAGCTGATATAGAGAGCTCAGATGAAGAAGACAATTATTATCCTTTGCTAGGAGATGATTTGCCAACCTCATCTTATATTACAAATGAACTAGGTCTTGAATTGGAGGATATAATCGAAGATACTACTATAACTAAAATGCTTTAAAAAAAGGAAGAAAGAGGCGCTGTAGATTATAAAAGTGAAAAAAACGGTATTATTATCTGCAAATGGCAGGACAACAAAGCTGTTATTACAATATCTAATTTTATAGGTGTTTTACCTACGACCAATAAACGATGGTCTGTATCGGACAAAACCAGGGATTCGAACCGAACCCGAACCCGGAGAAGTGAACCCGGGTTTTTAGAAAAAAACTCTGAACCCGAACCGAACCTGAACCCCATTTATAAAATTTTCAAAACCCCGAACCGAACCCAAGAATTTTATTTGAACCCGGGTTCAACCGGGTTCAGTGTATTATTTAAAATCATATATTAATATATGTAAATACAAATATTATATTTTCAAATTTCCAATTAAATGAAGTGTTAATAAATTTTAAACAACTTAATTCATTTATGCCATTTTTAAATTTATTCTCGATTCCTATTGGAGTGTTAAAAAATTTTAAACAATTGAATTAATTTACGCCATTTATTTTTAAATTTTTATCTTATGATTCTTAAAGATTATTAATTAGAAGAAAATGGTTAACAAATCAAAGTAAAAATTATTATATTGTTAATTTAAAAAATTCTAAACATCTAACTTAAAAATTGTTAAATGTAGGGCAGTTTTTGTGAACTTATTAAAATGATTTTAAAATTTATATATGCTAATCATTTATTTTTGGTTCAGATTAATTTTTGCAAGATATTAATGAAGTGCATATTATAAATGAAATTAAATTTATAAATATCTCTTTTTTAATTCTGAAATCATTGCTATTTAAAAAAATTGTTCTCTTTATATAGATTTAAGATTAAAGATAAAGTCATATTTGATAAGCATTTTACCCTTAATACAATAGAAAAAAAATCAATATGTTCATATTGCAAAGTAAAAATGTCTGGTAATCACTTGTCAAATTTAGAAAGACACCTGGAAAGAAATCACAACAATGAATATTTAAATTATTTAAATGAAAAAACCAAATATCAGGAATTGTTATTGGCAAAAAAACCTAAAATTAATATAGAACCTTTTTTCCAATAAAGCATATAAGTTTAAATATATCATCTAATGATTTGATGAGTTCTATACTAGAACTTGTTACTGTAAATGGCCGGCCTTTATCAATTATTGAAGATTCGGGATTTCAAAGAATTATAAATCCACTCCTATCTGGGCTCAATTTAGTTATAAACAAAGAAAATTTATCCAGAACTATTAATAAAACAGCCCAATCAATTAAAGACAAAATATCGAGAGAGGTAGAAGGAAAATTAATAAGTTTAAGAGTTGATGCAGTTCAACGACTAGATAGGTCAAATCTTGGTGTAAATATTCAATATATCAAAGTCCATTATAAATTTGTGGACTCTTGGAATTGTAGAGCTGAAAGAGAGATGTACAGGAGAATATATAAAAGAGAATATATTAAAAACTTTACTAAAATTTAAAATTAATATTGAACAAATATACACAATTACTTCTGATAATGGTTGTAATTTTTTAAGAGCTATAAAGCTCCTGCAACCTGAAACTGATTATGATAGGAGTGAATCAGCAGATGAGGAAAATATGGATGTATATGTATATAAATATGATATTGATGATATACAAAATACTTTTTTATCAACTATTATATCCTATCCGATTTATAGTGTACTGTGTGCAGCTCACACACTTCAGCTGGCACTTCAAAATGCTATAAAATTATCACCTATTGTGGAAACCATTGCAAAAGCTAGGAGCCTAAATTTAAAATTAAGACATCCCACTTACCAAAAGTTATTAAAAAATATGATACTCCCTAAGCCTGTGTTAGATTGCCACAGATGGCATTCAACCCATGATATGTTAGAAAGGCTGATTTTACTAAAACCCAATATCGAAGATTTTTTTAGCAATCTGATTATTTATTGACTGAAGATTGGAAAGAGATTATAACGATTGCTGAAATTTTAAAATCGCTAAAAATCGCAACCAAACAATTCCAATCTGAACAGCTAACACTGACAGATTTTTATGCAGCATGGTTAAGATGCTGCATCGAACTGGAAAAAAATCCAAACCATTTTGCTCAATTACTATATTCTTGTCTTAAGAACAGAGAAAAATGGTTTATAAAGAACGAAATTCTCTTAGCTGCCATATACCTCGACCCAAGATACAAGGTTAATTAAAAGCTTAGTAAATTAATTATTTTAGATTTATATTAAAAATGTTATTTTATAGAATATTTAAATATAAACAATATAAATCCTTAAATATTACAGGTATTACTTAGTGATGATGATATGATTTGTGCGAAAAGGCATCATGTCAATTTATGGAGACGAATTAAAAGCTTAACAACGCCGATTTTATCTGATGATATTAGTTCCGATGAAGTTATTGAACAAGAAGATGATTTAGAGAAATTGATACAACTTAAAGAAAGGCAGGAAAAAATACTTAAAAGAGGGCCAACGATTGCTGAGAAAAGTATTGGAACAATAATTACTGGATTTAGCGATTATAAAAGATTAGATAAGAAGGAAAATATTTTGCATTTTTGGGAGTCTGCTAAGCTGGAACACCCTGAATTATATATTTTATCTAAAATCTTATTTGCTGTTCCTGCAACCCAAGTTAATTTATCATATTTTCACATATAAATACATTTAACAGAGGTTAGCGTTGAAAGATCTTTTTCACATTTGAAATTCATTCTTTCACCACATAGATCGAGGATGAGTGAACAACTCTTAAAAGATATTATGCTAATACGTCTAAATAAAATTTTTAAAATTGATACATGACTATATGCTTTGTATTTTTAACTATATTTGCCTATAAATAAAATAAAAAATTTATTTTTTATATCAAATTTATGTCTAGTTTTTTATTATGATTTAAATATAGAATCTTTTTTATCAACTCAAAAATTCTTGAACCCGAACCGAACCCGAACCAAACTCGGGTTCAAAAATATTTCCCTGAACCGAACCCGAACCGAACCCACCTTTTTTTATACTCCGAACCGAACCCGGGCAAAAATTTTGTCGGGTTCGCATCCTTGGACAAAACCTTTATAAATGTAGAAATGCCCGCTATAATTATAAACTATGAGGGAATGGGTGGAGTAGATCTTCACGATATGATGGTGGAGTTATATAGGACAGATAAATGGAAAAGATATTATATGCGAATGGTTTTCCATTTATTGGATTCTTGAGTAATAAATGCATGGCTCTAATATCAAATTTATGACATTATTGGTATTTAAATCTCAAATAGCAAAAGGGGATGCTAGCAGGAAAGGATAATAACAAGAAGACTGGAAGACCTTCCAGTATAGTTGTAAAGAGAAGAAAAGCCATAAATTTTGTCCCCATATCGGATATAAGATATGACCAAGTAGGTCATTTCCCAAAGCCCGTAACAATTAAACAAAGGTGCAAGTATTGCGTAGATGCATATTCAAGAATTATGTGTCAAAAGTGTAATATTTATTTATGTTTAAATAATAAACGAAATTGTTATTTGTCATTTTATAAAAAATAAAATATTTGTTTAAATGAACTTGCATTTTGCCTATTGATGACATTTGGAATCATTGAATATTTTTTGATAGAAATACTCGAAATAAGTTTTTTTGATAAAAATGTGTTATTTGTGTCTATAATAAGTATCTATTAAAAAAAAAAATTTTCATCGAGGGAAAAAAAGCCGGGCGCGAAAGGGTTAAAATAAACCAACTAACTTTTATGAATGATTAAGTGTATATTATTTTTTATTAACCAAAAACTCATTTAAAATGGAAAGCGGAAAATAATTCCCCGGCAAAAAAAATACCCAATAATAATCTTTGAAAAATAATTCCCTAGAATCGCCTCAAAATTTCGATTTGCCTAACTTTGATCGTAAAGTCATTTGATCGTAAATTTTGTCCATTTTTTTCTGATTGGTCTATTAATCGCGGTAAATTAAAATCATTTATAACCCTAACCCTAACCTATAAATTGAAAAAATCGTCCATTTTGACCTAAAATGGACAAAATGGACCATTTTACGATCAAAATAATACGATCAAAGGAGGCCCTCCCAAAATTTCGCCAATAAAAATTTAAGCCTTTCTGCTGTTGTGGGCAAAATTAATATGCTTGAGTAATTTACCAAAATCTTATGTTTAATAACAGTAGTTTAATATGATTCGTTAGATATTTCAAAATACATTTCTTGTTGCATATAATATAACAAAAAATAGTGTAAAATTTTTAACTATTTTTTTAAACATTACAACAAATAAATTGTATTTTAGTTCCTTTCATTAATTTTTATTATGAAATTATTTATAAAATAAAAAAAATTATATGATTATATATACAATCATAAAATAACGGAAAACAATAAAAAATATCGGATAGGATCAGATCAGATCGGTATAAATTTCAATTATCAATATTCAATTCAAAATTTAAAACCACAAGCGCTGATTGTGTTCCCACGATCAAATCGTAAAGGGCCACAATCAACCCAACAGTAATTTCCTAAAACGTATGAAGGTATATTTAAATATTAATTTTTTGTTTATAATCTTGCTTATTTAGAGAAAATATATCATTAAAATTTAATCATTTAAATTTATTTTTTTAATGAATCATCAAAAGCAAAATTGCTGACCATTTTATTTATTGTCATTTAAATTCTATGATCCAAGTTTTTATAATGAGATAAAAAATAAACCATATAATATAAAAATGAATGTAAAAAGTACTTGATTTCTATTAGATGTTAGTTATTAATAGTAGATTTATTTAATTTTTTCCTAAATTATTAGCAAGTATTATTATAAAAGTTTATTAATAACTTATATATATAAACTTGTTAATTTAGCCAAGAATAATTATGTGTGATTTTAAGATATCTTATCTAATTAACAGATAATTAGCCTAATCTCTAATAAAATAAGTATTTAAAGAAAAAAAACAATAAACTTGGTATTAATTGATATATAATGTTGATAATATAAAAATTTTTAATTTAAAAAGAAATCACCAATTTAAAAACTTTTCCCAAGGAAAATTAAAATTTAGATTAATAATTTAAAATTAATTATTTTTTAAAAGCGTTTTGAACCGGTTCAAAATATTTATAACGGTTCGGTTCGCCCTTTTTATATTTTCTTTATAACGGTTCGGTTAAGGTTACGGTTCAGAAAATCATAATGCTTCATTCCAGTTTAGCAGTTCAGTTCAGTTTGGTTCGAACCCCTGCCTAGAACCCTTGGACTCTCCCCTTTTAAAAGGGGTCCAGGTCTGGGTTTAGCCAAATATGAGGGTTCAAGGTCCAGGTTCACATTCCTGGTAAAAAATAATGTTTCATAAGAAACATGTTGAATACTTAGAAATAAATACAATAATTCATGAATAATTTGATCAAATAATGAAAAGATATTTGACAAATAATTTTTTCCTATTATTTACATATAATTTATTTGTTGAATTTAATAATTTATTTTAGATACATTGATTGTCATTAATTACATCATAAATTTATTGTTTAATTAATTGAACTACATATATATAATTAATCTCATTTAGCATACCATAAGGTCAAAATTTGGTTTAATTTTTTTCTTTAATATTACATCAAGTCTTTGAAAAGATGTAGCATTATTGTAAATGTTTAAATTTGGTTTTTCCATTTCAAACACTCGTTCCATATTGTATTTAATATTTTTGTAACCATTTTCTAAATTTTTCAAAAATTAGTTTACATTAAGAAATTATTGACAAAATAAAATTTATATATTAGAAATGTTTATTACTTGTAAGATCCTTATTAAAATACTCCTTTAAGTGTAGCCAATCACCCCAAAATTTCCCTTGTTGACATATAAACCAACCTAAGCAATTGTTTTTATGGGAGTAGATAAATTAATATATACCTGTTTTTTGATTTATAAACATATAATGGTTATCAATTGCTTGATCGCATACAAAACATTTTAATTTAAAACATGTTTTACCAAGAGCAAAATTAATTTTATGTGAACGTAAAGTATTATTGATATCTGAGTTATTTACCAAGATACTTTGAAAAGTTTCTAGGTGTCTACAAAATTTTTTAAACATTTAAATTTTGACCGAATAAATAAGAGTGATAGTCAACCAATGACATTAAAACGATTATAGACTGCCGATTAATGTATTTGAAGTGGCAAAAATTGAAGTTACTGGTGGTCATTTTATGTATGGACCTATTACCAAAGAAACATATGATAATTTCATAAATTTCGTATATTTTTATTATTATTATTATATATCAATAATATATATATATATTTATATATATTTATATTATATCCCAAATTATATTTACTTATATGGAGTGGCGTTAGCAATTTTCCTTAGAGGGGGTCCATACATATAAAAGTCTGGGGGATTCGCTTTCCAAACCTCCTTATACGAGCCTTCGGCCCTTTTGCCCGGCCTTCGGCCGGGTTAATCTTACAAATCATAACCATATCTTCGATAATATAATAAATATATTTTTTAAATGCATCATTAATATGTTATTATAATTTAGTAGATTATTCTCAATGACTTTCTAATAATATTATCCAGAATAATTTCAATAGTAATATAATATCCTTCCACTAACATCAAAACCAGAAAAATATAAATATTAATGGTATTTATTTGATATAAAGTCACTTTTAAGTCTTTTGAACGTATAACCTAAAAAAAAATTTGCTCTGGGAGGGGTCCAAACCCGAAAACCACCCCCCGTAGTTACTCCACTGCTTATATGTTTTACTATATGAATAAAAAACATTTTTAGACAATTAAATTATGGTTATACTGTTTTGATTATTGCTTAATGTTGAATTATAAATAATTCCACGTTTTATTATAGTTGGATAATTATAATACATTTTATTTTTAATCATAATTTAAATTTTATTATATGATAAATTACATTTTTATTTTTCCAGCTCAATTACATTTTTTTTATCCCTTTATATATCTTTTTTTAAACAATAATAAAAAAAATAACTAATACAAATTGATTTATATAAAAAAATGTTAATATAAAATTTTCACCGATTAAATTTAAATATAATTGATATAATATAAAATAAATCAATTGCCAAATTAAATAATAAAATAACATCGATCAACATATTCAACATTCCACCCTCCAAAGAAATTCAGCTTATGATTTCCTTGGATAAGTTGAGTGGTAACGATTAACATTCATGATCACCAAGCAATACGCCACCCATGTTCATGGTGCAGTCTTATTTTCAAACCGAACGATGGCTTGGTAAAGTAAAAACAACCTCTAGCTAATATCCAAACCGGAGCGCTTGTGCATGGCATCGGACATCTAGATTCCTTTCGAGCAAGGTTTATTTTGTCGTGCTTCATACAGCAAAATAATTTATAAGTCGTTGCATATATTTTAGCGCACGGAATTCTCCTTGAAGGTACGATCTTAGGCACAGCATAGGGCTTCAAGTGAACTTTCAATTGTCTGATCATTTTGGGTTTGTAGGAATAAGTTGATTCGAGGTCTTAAATTGTTGTCGAGATTATCTTCTCGAGATCATTCTCTACATTACCCATAAAGTACGTTTTTAAAATGTTGTTGAAGGTGTGGAGCCACATACGTCCTAGCATGGGGATCTTATCACAATCCACTACAATGGCCTCCAGTGTATGTGAGTTTCCTTCATACTTAACGTTTACATTGGCAAGGCCTAATATTTTTATAGCGCTGCCGTGATAACCAGTGAGTCTCATGTCCGTCTTACGTATCGCAATTATGCCTAGAGTCTTAGCTGTCAGCTTCAGAAGTATAGTGTACCTGGTACCGGTGTAGCGTGTGAAAGTGATTCGAATTCTCACACCATCAAAATCTCACGGCTCATACCGTGTGAAAGTGATTTCATGATATTTTGATTTTTATCGCTTCAAATACATTGGGGGCCATTTAAATATTCAGAATCTCACGGCTATTCAATATTTCAAAATCTCATGTATTTTTTTAAAATCTTACATTACGAATTCAATATGTTTAGTGATAATTTTTCCAAAATAAATGAATTTTCAAAAATTCCACTTAATGTCAATATATCTAACTTTATTAGAAAATGCACGGCTTACAAGTTAAAAGATGACAATCTTTACTACATGATAGGGGAAAGTAAATTTTAGAAATTTTTTTATTTCAAATTGTCATAATGTATATGGATTTATAAATATATTAATTTTTTTTTTTAATTTAGGATAATTATTAAATTTGATTAGAACATTTCATATATTTTTGTTTAAGTCTTAAATAATTTATTTTATAGGTAAATTAGGATGTAATTGTATTTTTTATTTCAAATTATTTTAATGTATTTTATGTTAGTATATATATAAGAACATTTAATATATTTACTAAGATTTTACATATAGGCATTATAAGATAAGTGCTATTTATACAACTAAAATTTAATTTAGATTATCACATAGTTTATTATTTCTGCAACATCACCTGATATTATTATAAATATAAAATTTAACATTGCAGAAGTTAGCACTTTGGGTGAAAGTAAATGTCAGATACTTTATAATGTATAAATATAAAATTTTTAATGCAATTTTTCATTATTATTTAGCATTATAAATCTTTAAGCCATTTATTGTTTTTATTTTTTCTGCTTATTATTATGTATATAATTTAATAATATATTATTTTTGAAGATGATACATGAGGGGAGGGGGGGGGAGGTGTATCTACAGTTCCAGGTATTTCCATGGGAGGGCATCTGTGTATAAATAAAACTAATCAAATAATAACTGAAAAGTAAACATTTGCAACATTATCTTAATTAATTTTTTTATAGCTTTTATTGGTTAGGAAGTAATATACACATTAGGGAGTTTATCAAATCCTGTGAGGTTTGTCAAAAATCAAACAGTCGTTTTGATAAAACTTCAAATGTTTTGCATAATATAAAGATAGTACCAAAGTCTTGGTATCAAATTGGCATCGATTTAATCCAGATGCCAAAGTCTAGAGAAAATTTTAAATATATTTTATGTTCAATATGTTATTTTCAAAATATTTAATGACCATTCCTATAAAGGATAAAACAGCTAAATCTGTTGTGAAAGCCTTATTATTGTCAACACCCACCAATGTTATGAAGTAATAAAATTAAAAATATCAATTTTGACTTTGAATTTTATTTGTTTTTAATTTAATAAAACTAAAATATATAATATATAAATTCAGATAAATGATCAGGGTAGGGAATTCTGTAACAATGTTTGTACAGAATTCCATAAATATTGTGGGATAGTACAGAGAATAACCTCCGCCTACTACCCACAAGCAAATGGTTTGGTTGAGAGAGTTAATAGGACAATCCAGAACCGAATAGCAAAATCGGTTTTGGATATTCCAACTGACTCTGATGTGTGGTCAGAAACCGCGACGTCCTCTTACAATAGAGATAATCTTAATAATTTTATTTTTAATTATTATTTAGTTACAAAATAAAATTAATGATGTATTAGCCTTACCAGAGGTCATGGCAAAAATAACAATTGACGAATGTCTAAGGGAAGAGTTAGATATAAAAATGGCGCATCTATAGAAAATAACAGAGCTGGCTATACAAAATATTGGCACAGCTCAGCTCAAACAGAGAAATGATTATCAGAAGAGGACTAATGGTGCAAAATCTTTTGTTGTGGGACAAAAGGTTCTTGCATGGAATCATAAAAGGTCAGATAGGAAGGGGGGGAATGTTGAACCCCTGGATTGGCCCTTATTTGATCAATAAAATATTTGATAAGGGTAATAATTATATTATATAAATTATTTATTGTATATCAAGGTGTATATGAATTAATACCAACAAATAAAGTTATTTTGAAAACAAAATACAATCTACGCAATCTAAAAGAATTTATTTTTTTTAGATACAAAGGTTAATATTTAATATCATTATAATTATTTTAAATGTTTTTATTATAATGTATTGCCTTTAGATATTGGTTCCCTAAATGTTCAGCTTGAAGATGTAAATTTCCCACTTGATACAGATTTTATCGATCCAAAGTCTCCAATAGGTAATGTTATTTTTGATATATATTCAAATTATTTTTTGAATTATGATAATTTTTTAAAAATATTTTTATAAGCAGCACATCTGTGTGAAGATATATGTAATACATTTCCTATTGACAGTGGTTCCCAGAATGTTGGCTTTGAAGATGAAAATTTCCCACTTGATACAGATTTTATCGATCCAAAGTTTCCCATAGGTAATATTATTTTTGATATATATTCAAATTATTTTTTGAATGATATGATAGTTTTTTAAAAATATTTTTATAAGCAGCACATCTGTGTGAAGATATATGTAATACATTTCCTATTGACAGTGGATCCCAAAATGTTGGCTTTAAAAATGAAAATTTTCCACTTGATACATATTTTATCGATCCAAAGTCTCCCATAGGTAATGTTATTTCTGATATGTATTTGATTTATTTTTTAATTAATTATGTATACAGAATTGGATGATGATATTATGATAATAAATAAATTAGAAATATCCCTAGTTATTTTTTTCCTACAACAAAAGTATGGAAAAAATAACATGCCAAAATATATGCTTTTAAGCCTCCCAAACATTGTCCGGATGTAGACTATGGTAAACAACTTGATGAACCAACTATCTTGGGGCGTATTGAAGGTGAGAATTGTTTTTATAGGTAGAACATATTAATATAAAATTTCATTTTATTCTACTTTATAAAATTTAGGGCGATTAGAGTGGAGATCACAGGGGCTCATCCCATATTATTCTCAGGCAATGGTTGGCACAATTTATGCTAACATTTGAGATGGAAAAAGTAATTCAGAATTACATTTATGACACAAATAAAAAAATGGATATAAAAACGTATATCGTAAATAATGTTATAACAGGACGTATATTGGCTTCTGACACAGAAGTCAGGGCTATGGCCACAATGCTTAATACTCCTATTTTTACATATTTAAAATATAATAATAACTTTGTATGGGCCCGATATGACCCATTTTATATTTGCGATAATATTAAAAAAATTTATAATAATTTGATTTATATAAAAAATGGAGGAAACCATTTTGAAAATGTTTTTGATTGCAATCATTTATCTTCGCTCTAGTCATTATTTAATACATCTTTATTAGTGTTAAATAATTTTTATTATAAAAATATAAATTCTTCATTATTATAATTTATATTCGTCATAATATATATTTTTGCAATAATTTATCATCCATCTAGTCATTATTTAATATTTCCTTATTAGGATCAAATAATTTTTATTATAAAAATATAAATACTTCATTCATATTATAATTTATCATCCATCTAGTCATTATTTAATATTTCCTTATTAGGATCAAATAAATTTTATTATAAAAATATATATTTCATTCATATTATAATTTATATTCAGCTGATATATTTTTTTTATGAAAGTTGTTGTTTATAAATAATAGAGTTGTTAAAGGATCTAGATACAAGTATCTAGATCCTGTATCTAGATATAAAAATGTGGTATCTGTATCTAGATAGATTTTTAATATTATTTTAGACGTTGTATCTGTATCTAGATCTTAAAAAGTATCTTTTAACAACTCTGATAAATAAAATTCTAATACATTATAATGTGCACTATATGATAAATAGTTATATTAATAAAGTTATTCGTCTATTTGCTTATTAGTTTATGTGACCCTATTCAAATATAAGTATAAAATAATATAGAGATAGATTTTTTAAAAAAATATTATATTAGGTAAACAAAATAAGCATTATGATTAAGTCATTTAAGTTAAGAATTTATCTTACCATTTCTTTGCATTATTTAAAAAGGGTAGGTAATGATTTTTAGAGGGTAGGGTAGAAAAGAGAGGTATCATAAATTAATATTGATATAGGAAATCTGAGGAAATGTCAAATCTGGATAGTTATGAGATTGTAGTCTTTGGTTTTGGACCTATTTAAACTTAAATTTGTTTTATATTATATAATTGTGTAAATTAGAATATTAGTAAGGATATTTTTACTTCCTTTACAAATAATAAATTACATAATATTCATATATTGCCAAGGCAGCCCACATAGCCTAAAATAATCTGAACCATATCACCCCCACTCTTTGGTATGAAATACAGACTAAAAATATAAAGCCGATTTTTCTGAAAAATAAAAAGAACAAAACAATCAGATTTTCAATTTAAAAAAAGGTATGTACGGGGATTCGAACCAAGATTTTGAAGGTAGTAAGTGTAACATATAACCAATAAGACTACGCTACATAATTATATTATTCAAGTTTATTTGTATATAATTATAAATAATCGACTATTCAATTATATGCAATTTATAAATTATATAATTAAAATAAAATTCTATAATTAAGTCCCCAAAAAGGAACCATAATTGTGTCTAAAAATTTATATTTGAATTATTTGTCGAATAAAAAGAAATTCTCTTGGTTCATTTGTGAAAAGTCGTATTTTATTACCAAGATTTTTTAAAACAAAAATGTTGAAGGCTAAAAATGCCCGTTAATAGAAGTCATTACTGGAGTGAATATGAAGTTTTTAAAATTTTTGTATTTGTTTATCTTTTTAATTTCAGCCTGTGTTATTAAATTGAAATTATTGTTTGAAGGGTATGATGAGACACACGTGTAGTCCCATATGAGTGATTTGCCGAGGGCCCAAGGTATGGTTGTCATATCATCAGGTCTTAAACCATTTACTTGAGATAAATTTGATGGTTCAAGATTGTTTGGAATGTGTGCAGCTGTTAAGCTTCTATTTATTATATGGTTTACAGCTGAGTGGCGTTGTTGTCGTCCTTGACTAAAAATGCAATTTAAGCCATGTCTACCCTTTGAATCAACGGGTGATTTGCATTTGATGCAGGCATGAGGCTGTACTATATGGCAACCTAGACGTAAACCAAACTTTTCACAAATGAACCAAGAGAATTCCTTTTTATTAGACAAAAAATTCAAATAGAAATTTTTAGACAAAATTATGGTTCCTTTTTGGGGACTCAATTATAGAATTTTATTTTTAATTATATAATTATAAATTATATTATTTTTAATTATGTTTTATGTAAATTATATGCAATTTAATTTATATATATTATAAATAGAAATTATATAAAACCTTTACTTTATTGCTTAATGGTGTTTATTTAATCCCAGTATTCGACTTATTAATCTAAAAATACAAATGAACTCTTGAAATGAAACATATATATCTTGCAAAGCAATCAAAGATTATAATTAGACAGTTAGGGTGTATATAATTATTGTCACTATATTATAATACTAGTAATTTTAAATACTTGTCATGAAAACTTTTACTTTTAATTTATCGCTTCAAAAACATTGGGGGCCATTTAAATCAAAATCTCACAACCCATCCGTGGGATTTTGATGGTGTGAGATTTCGAAATCTCACAGATCATTTTCACACGTTACACCGGTGTCAACTTGCATCAACGTGGGTATGTTGTTGATGTTGTCATGTTGTACGCGTCATATATGGTATCCTTGACCTCCAGATTGTACACTTCCAAATTCTGCAGATTATATTCTTTAAGGTCTGTGTTTGAGTCGTCATCATCATCAATTACTTCGATGTTAATAGCATGGTTCGTATTCAATTGACAATCACGATCTTTGTAATCAGAATATCTATTGTAAGTATTATTATCATTTTTGTACTGGTTGGGCCTCGACGAATATTTTGGAAAACCATTAATATTTTAAGGGTTGTGTCTTTGCTGACCACGACGGGAATAGTTGGTTCGGTTATCACCTCTAGAGCAGTCATCCCGTCAATCAGGGCTTTGATGATGGTCACAATGAGAGTCGTGGCGATTGCCATGGACGTTTTACCCGCTATTGTTGTATCGATCGTCGTAGTAGTTATCGTTGCGATTATCGAAACGGTTGCGGTTATAGTGACAATTATCGTAGCTTTGATCAAAACGATTGTCGTGGAAGTTGCTGTGCCGTCCGTTGAATCGTTTGTCGCGGTCGTTGTCATAGCGTAAATCGTAACGTTCATCGAAATTCTGTGCGGGGCGATTGTCATTGATGAACTGGGGTTGCTTGATAAGATATTTACCATGTGCGTGAGAGTCCTGAATGGGTTTTGTTGTTGCGTAACTATTTTTGACTCTGCCCATGTGATTAACCTCTTGTACACCAGGTGATTCATTCAAATGTAACAATTTCATCTCGCCCTTGATGCCATTTGGGTCCGCGGTGTCTTCCTCTAGACCTAGATTGTAAATGTCTTCTATGGTCATAGAGCTCTTGACCGCTTTCCTGACATCTTTGGAATACAAAGATACTCTCACTTTCTCAATAATTCTATGAATGCCATTAAATTTACATTCTTTATTGAGTCGTGCTACGCGCGTGACTCAATCCGAGAATGTCTCATCCTTGCCTTGAGTTGCAGCATAAAATAATGATAGTTTAGCGTTCTCGGTCTTCGATGGATGTTGTAACTTGAATTTGTCAAGCAGGACGATTGGGTCCTGGAAGTCTTCCTCAGTGCAAATTGCCCCAATATTATTGAATTCGTCATCAGGAAGACTTTGGATAAATAAAGTGGCATTTTCTCCGTTGGAGATCTTGCTGGTGTTGAAGATATTCTGCAATTTCCCTATGTAGGCGCTGTCATCGCTACTAAATTTGGGGAAATCCAGCTTGACAAATTCAGTCATATATGTGGAGTTGTTCAAAGCATCCATCGTAAGAGAATTATAATCGATAAAGGCGTGAAATATAATAAATGTACATTGCAAAATCAAGATTAAATTTTGAAATAGTATTTATACAAAGTTAGGATGTAGATTGGCCTCCATGTTGAAATAGAATTAATTCCACATTTTATTATAGTTAGATAATTATAATACATTTTATTTTTCATCATAATTTAAATTTTATTATATGATAAATTACATTTTTATTTTTCCAGCTCAATTACATTTTTTTTATCCCTTTATATATCTTTTTTTTCAGCAATAATAAAAAAAATAACTAATACAAATTGATGTATATATAAAAATGTTAATATAAAATTTTCACCAATTAAATTTAAATATAAATTAATATAATATAAAATAAATCAATTGCCAAAATATAATAAAATAACATCGATCAACATATTCAACACTTAATGAATATCTTTAAGATTTATGTAGAGTAATCATGTTATAATAAATACTTTTATATAGTGATAAGTATAATTAAATATTTTCTACTGTTAACATTTACAGAACAAGTAAAGGTGATATTTAAAACTTAATGAATATTCTTAAGATTTATTTAGAATAATCAATTTAGAATAAATAACTTTTATATAATTAAATATTTTCTCTTCTTTATTAAGATTTATAGTTTATTACTTAATGAATATCTATAAGATTTTATATAATTAATATTAAAAAAAACTGTATAGTAAGAATATTTTTTAAAATTTTGTGCCCTTTATTAAAATTTCCTGGGAAGTAAGGATTTATTGTTTTCTTTATTACATAATAAATATCTTTAAAACTTTTCAAATTTATTTATACTAATCAAGTTAGAATGAATATTTTTTTAAGAATACAATTTAATATTTTAATTTATATATTTAATAACAAAAATCACTGTGAGGAAAAATATATTATATAATCTTGAAATGACTTATATTTTCATTTATATTTTTTATTACTAAAAGATTTACCTATCTAAGAGAATAATATCAGAATTATCAATTTATTCAGATAAATTTATAGTAAAATACTTATCATTTTGAATTAAATATATTTTGAAATCTATTATAAAATTTAATATATTTTTATATTTTAAGAAAATGGTATTATATTGCAGTGCATATAGCTGTAAACAAAAATATTGTTCAGGAAGCAAAATTTCCTTAAGTATGATATCTCAAATTAAATATTAATTTCTAATTTTTGTCATACTTAAATATAAAATATTTATTATATGAAGATGCAACTTATATTATTAATCTATTTTCTTTTGTAAAATTATTTATGGGAGATTTTCTATGAAAAACAAATCTATTTAACATGTGATTTAATATCTATCATGAATTTTATATTTCTATTTTTAGAAATTTCTCAGAAAACAAAATTGAATATACATGATTTATTGATCAATATTTTAAATTGTATATAAAAAATTCATTATATAATTTCTTTTGTATTTCTGGTTTTAATGAATAAAAAGAGATATATTTTATAATTCCTCAAGATTATAATTTATAAGTCTTTTTATATTTTATGTTTGCTTTAATTTATTCTATTTCTTAATAATGATAACTATCCATTTCTAAATATATTTCTTTATTTAAATTTAATTTATAAATTTTTACAATAATAAATACAAATAATATATATATATGTTTTTACATTTATTAAAATAAATATATCATTATATAAAGTAAATGGTATAAAGTGTAAAGTTTTTTCCTATAAATTTTCACCATAATTTTTCCTTCACCTATATGCCCTTGAAAAAGCACTCTTTTTTAGTTTTAGCCTAATATCTAATTTTAATTTTTGATTTATTTTATTTCCAGAATGGTGCATTTATATACATAGGTAGCTGAAAATAAATTTTTATTAAAATCAAGTAATGATTATACCTTTTTATAATAAGTTTTATTATAATTTGATAGTGACTTAATCCTGCCTCTTGATCATACATATGATCTTGCAGGTCATTAAATATTTGGGCTTAATATATTTGAAAATATAAGGCATTCTAATTTTTTAACTTCATGTTTTTAGTTATTACATCCACTTATTCAAAAGCACTAATTAAGCTCGCTGTAAGTTGGAATAAAGTTGATGCACTTTGTGGTGATACTATTAATCCACCATAATTTTTAATTTTTATTAACATATATCATTATCAATGGCTGAATTATTAATTAAGGAATTTATGAGTATTTATTCTAACTTGATTAGTCTAAATAAATCTTAAAGATATTCATTAAGCAATAATCAAAACTGTATAACCTTAATTTATTGGCTCTAAAAATGCTTTTTTATTTATCTAGTAAAACATATAATAATTTGGGATATAATATAAATGTATTTATATATTGAAAATATCAAACAATAAAAATATTCCTGAAATTATTTATGTTTCTTTGGTAATAGGTCCATACACAAAATGACCCTCATTCACTTCAACTCAAATTTGATTTTAGCATTACGATCGGCAGTCTATAATTTATGTCATTGGAGTCAACTCTTTCGACTATTAAAAATATTAAAGAGGCAAATAAACAAATGGCGTCCAATATATGTCATTGGGCCCTTAATAAGTTAGAAGCTTGAGAATAATATTAAACTTATATATAGAACTTATATATAAAAATTAAATATATGGGATTATTTATACTGACGAGATTTAACTATACCATAAGGTATATACACTGACTGAAATCTTGACTGTAACATCTTATTTGAAACAAATTATTTAGGTAGATAAGAATGAAATATAAGAGAGCTAACTATGTAAATAAACTAATTTTTTATTTTAATAATATTAATTCAATTTTTGTTTTTAAAATTATATTATATATTAATAAATATATATTAGAAAAGATAATTCTATTCTAATATTTACTTTTTATTAATTTTTAAAATATTAAATTATTTTTTTATATATATTTTGAATTTATGATTACATGAATTTTCAGAATTAAATAAAATTTAATATCGATAATCAACGATTTACATTTTTATTCATGTTTCTCTTAAATTTTCCTATTTAAAATTTTGATTTGATAGATTTAAAAAAATAATTTTCTATTATATATTGGACATGAATCTAGTGTTGTTAAATGGCTGAGCCAAGCCGGTTTAGCCAAAAACTCAGCCAGTTTTTGAGTCAAAAATTCGGCTCAGGCTAAAGCCGTTAGCTCAAGCCGATTATTAAGAGGAAATTTATTTATTTAATATTAGTGTTGTTAAACTGCTGAGCCAAGCCGGCTTAGCCTAAAATCATCTAGTATTTGAGTCGAAAATTGAGCCATATTAGTCGGCTCGGTTCAATCTGATATAGCCGAAATTTATTTATTTGAGATTAGCGATGTTTTTCTTGTATTTGTATTACTAAAATTTTAACTACGCAAAAATGGTTCGTCCACCTCGCAACTTGAGTCAGCCCAACCTACCCATTATCCCACACCAGGAGCTAACCCTAAATAACTCGCTGGAGGGACCTGCTAGCGATCCCACCATTGCTGCTATTGTTACGGCAATGCAAGCCACATCCCCACAAATGGTTGAGCTTACCAGGGATAGCAGAAGCAATAGACGCGATAGATCTCCGTCTCCGCATACCTCTACGACTAGAAGCAGGGAATCTCGCACACCTACACCACCGCCACCGCCCCCAGTCATCGCCCCGGCCCCTATCGTGCCACTTATTCCATTAACGCCTGCAGAGAAGCACGATAAATTAGGCAAAGTATGGGCTGGGTTACAACAAGACCTCCTTGAACCCAAGTGCAAGGCCAGCGTCCGCGACAGACACGAAATAAAGCACATCGCCAATGTTCTAGAAATAATGGACGTCTCAATGGACCCGAGGTTAATGGATGACTAAAAGAATCAGAGTGCTAGTTCTGGCCATTCACTGGAATTGGCAGACCGCCATAAACAACGACGCGTCTTACCAAAAAAAATTCCTGGGCGGGGAAGAGATATAAATCTTCCGAGATTTGCAGACCTTTCGGGATAGGGGCTACGGCCCCTCAACATCAGGAACGTACAGGAGAACGGAAAGAAAGGAACCGGCCACCTCCCGGGGAAAGATAAGGAAATAGTCGCTACATGGAACATCCCGTTACTTCATCTATCCTTCTTCCTCCTTCTACTATTCTCAATATTCCTCCCTTCTCTACGTCTCCAAACATAGCCCTCCCGGGGGAGACTATGATGGGCAACGGACCTCCGGCCCAAGTAGGGAGAACAGCTCAACTCTCACCGTGGCTAGCCCAAGTGAATAAATTTTTAAGAGAGTTGAGGCATCAGCTGTTTTCTCCTAATGATATCGATCGGGCACAAGCGTAGCTTCAATACCTGATAACAATAATCAACATCCCCCGATGCATGGCGGCTAGTGCTGCAGACGATTCCGACACTCCGTACTTTTTGTCTGAAAATTCAGGGATTCCCGAATGGTTAATACCTAACCCGCTTTCGGCATCCCTCCCTTCAAGCAGCTCGAGAAGCGACGACTCGAGTGCGTCCATCATCTCGGAATTGGAATACAC